TATACCCTTGAGGCTGAAGTTGTAAGTGGTTCAACAAATGTTTCATCCATGAAACCTTTGTTGAAGACAAAAATTTGGCACATGAGATTGGGCCATGTCAGTGAAAGGGGTCTGGTTGAGCTGGGAAAACAAAATTTGCTTGGTGGAGACAAAGTCAAAAAGATGAAGTTTTGTGAACCATGTGTACTTGGAAAATCTTGCAGAGTGAAGTTCAACAAAGACAAACAAAGAACACATGGATCCCTTGATTACATCCATGCTGATTTTTGGGGGCCTGCAAGGTGTCCATCACATTCAGGAACAAGGTATTTTCTATCCATAGTAGATGACTATTCCATAAATTTATGGGTATTCATCCAGAAGACTAAGGATGAAACTTTTGATAATTTCAAAAGTTGGAAGACTCTGGTCGAAAATTAAATTGACAGAAAGGTCGAGAGGTTGAGAACCAGCAATGGCCTTGAATTTTGCAATGAGGCTTTCGATAGCTTTTGTGTTGCCTCTAGTATTGCAAGGCACATAACTACTGCAGATACTCCACAATAAAATGGTTTGGCTGAAAGGTTTAATCAAACTATTTTGGAGAGAGTTAGATGTATGTTGACTAGTGTCAGGTTAAAGAAGGTGTTTTGGGCTGAGGCTGTTTCGACAACTACATATCTGATAAACAGATGTCCTTCAACTTTGTTAGACATGAAGACACCTGAAGAAGTTTGGTCGGGACATTCACCAAATCTCGATAAATTGAGAATATTTGGCTGCATAGCCTATGCGCACATTAGGCAAGACAAGGTTGAACCTAGAGTTTTGAAGTGCATGTTCATGGGATACCCTAAAAGAGTTAAAGCTTATAGGATATGGTGCCTAGAGCTAGGTCACAAGAGGTGTATCACCAGTCAAGATGTAGTTTTCAATGAAGCTGAAATGGCTTTCAAGAAAACTGATGATGTTGGTTGAAGTGCAGAAATATCTGACAAAGAGCTGGAACATGGAGAGATTCCTGTCGAGGTGGAGCATGATGATGCTGAATTGCGTATTCGAGATGAAGTCGAAGAAGAATTAGAAGATGCTAAGGAAGTTGAGGAAACTGTCGATGACTACCCATTATAAAGAGATAGGATGGGAATAGTCATCAAGGCACCTCAGAGACTTGGGTATGCAGATCTTATAGCTTATGCCTTAATCCTTACAAGTGAGGTTCTAGACGAAGAACCTAGAGACTATAAGAAAGTTATGAGGAGTCAAAATAAGACTGAATGGATGATGGCCATGGATGATGAGATGAAATCTCTTCATGATAACTACACTTGGGAACTAATCAAGAAACCTACTGGAGCTAGGTTAGTCAGATGTAAGTGGATTTTCAAAGTTAAGGAAAGAATCAAAGGAGTGGCGTCGAAGAGATACAAGGCAAGATTGGTCGCAAGGGTTTCACTCAAAAAGAAGGTTTCGACTTCAATGATGGGATTTCTCCTGTTGTGAAGCACATGTCCATTCAAATGTTGCTTGCTATGGTGGCATAGTTTGACCTTGAACTAGAACAAATGGATGTGAAGACTGCGTTCTTGTATGGTGATCTAGATGAAACACTCTTGACGAGGTAACCTGAATGATATGTCGAAAAGGAAAAGGAAGATTATGTGTGTAAGCTAAATAGATTATTATATGGACTGAAACAATCTCCTCGACAATGGAATAAGAGATTTGATAGGTTCATGGAACATATAAGTTTCATTAGAAGTCAGTTTAACCACTGTGTTTACTTCAGATTTCCACCTGGAAATTCATTTGTTATTTTGTTGCTTTATGTTGATGATATTCTCATAGCAAGCAACAATGTCAAAGATGTAATGTGGATGAAGGCTGAACTCAATAAGGAGTTCGACATGAAGGATATGAGAGTTGCATCCATGATTCTCGGGATTGAGATCCGAAGAGATAGAAAGTAGTCAAAATTATGCTTATCTTAAGAGGCATACCTACGAAATATTCTCGACAAGTTTGGTACATCGAATTCAAAGCCTGTTGTGACTCCAACAAACCCTCAATTCAAGCTGAGTATAGATCAGTGTCCCAGTATCAAGGTCAAAAGAGATTATATGAATATCATCCCATATTCTAAATATAGTAGGTTCTTTGATGTATGTTATGGTTTGTACTAGACCCGATATAGCATATGCAGTAAGTCTTGTAAGCAAGTACATGGTGAATCCTATAAAAGCTCACTGGAAAGTATTGAAGTGGATTCTAAGGTACATAAATGGGTCTCTGAACAGAGTCCTAATTTATGGTGGAGCCTTGGGTGAAGATAGTGAAGCAACAATTGAAGGGTATGTCGACTCTGATTAAGCAGGATGTATGAATTCCAGAAAATATATTTCAGGATATGTTTTCACTATGTTTGGCACAACAATAAGTTGGAAAGTGACACTTCAGAAGGTTGTTGCCTTATCAACCACTGAAGTATAATATATTTCCCTCACTGAAGCTGTGAAAGAAGTATTGTGGCTTAAGGTTTTGCTAAGGAGCTGAAACTTCAAGGTCGAGTTATCACTGTTAAATGTGATAGTCAAAGTGCAATACACCTGTCAAAAAACTCAGCCTATCATGAGAGAACCAAGCACATCGATATGGGGCTGCATTTTGTCAGAGGGGTAATTAAGCGTGGAGAAGTCCAAGTATTGAAGGTTTTGACAGATCACAATGCTGCTAATATGATCACAAAGACATTGCCAAGTTGCAAGTTTTTCTACTGTATGCAGTTGATAAAGCTGCATGAAGAAAGCTAGTTTGTTCTTTGATGTTATAGAGTTTGTTCCAAAATGGAGATTTGTGAGATATTGGATCAAACTCTATAGGATCGAAGGATAGCTTTATGGTTTGACAAGTTCGACAAAGGTTAGCATGCAATCGAAGGTCGCTCACATGCTGGTGTCAAAGTAGTGTATAATATAGTCGAAGTATGGCCAAACATGCAGTTGTCGAAAATGCTAGAGTTGTTAGCATGTTGAACTGGGCCTATTTGTCATGTACAATTGTTTAAGTTAGCTTGTACCCTAAGTTAACTTGTAATGAATATTTATGAAAAATCCCATTAGTCTAGTATGTTAAGTTTATTATAAATAGCATACTAGTTTCTCATCATTGTATACTGCAAATTCTAATTTAGGGTGAGAGAGGTTATTTGTTATTCTTGTAACACTTGTAATCTTGTTTAAAGAGAAAGTAAAGAATAATAGTTATAACAAATTTTTGTTGTTCTTCGTGTTCTTCCATCTTCTCTATCCTTATGTATTTCTTGATCATAAAGAATTAATTTATACTTAGTTTCCAAGGCATCATTTTCACAACAATCTAGAAATCTCACCATCACCGGAGTGATGTGGAATCATGAAAGGTAGATGTGTTTGTTCTTCATTTTCAGAATTTGTACTCTCATCATTGTCTTCCAAACAATATATGCTCTTCTTGACTTTTTATACTTCTTGTTGATGAATCTATTCTTCTTTCAGAGAAAAGGACAACCACTTTTAATATGTCCTTGTTTTTCACATTCAAAGCAAGTGACCTTTTATTTTGAAGTTGATTATTTATTCAACTTATTTCCTTGTCAAATATTCATTGTTTTGTCTCTTTTCAAGAATTTTTCAAACTTCTTGACAAGTACTTCTATATGTTCATCATCTTCTTCACTACCCAATTGAGATTTTTCTTCTTGATCACTATCATAATCTTTGACTTTAGTTTTTAAGGAAAGGGATCTCACTTCATGTTCAAGTCCTTCATGCTTTTCCAATCGTTCAAGTTATAATTAATGTTTTTGAAATTGCCCGAATAATACCGCCAATGCCATCTTGGATAGATTTTTCTTTTTGAAATCTCCATCACTATGTTGCCATGCCCTTGTCAAAGATCTAAGAACCTTTAACTTTAATTTATTATTGGTGAAGGTTTTTTCCATATCTGTTATGCGGTTTGTCAAAAATCTCACCTTATGTTCACGTTGTAGTGACAATAAAATATGTATTACGTGAAACCACACTATTATTAGAATTATTTCAGTGTAGATAAATCATCCTCACCCATAAATATCTTATCAAACACCTTCAATGCATCTCTTATTTCACCAACTGCACAATAACATTAATCAAAATGGTATAAGAAATAACATTAAGACAATTATCACGATTCTTCATGTCATAAAACAACCAGTGAGCATCGAAAAATAACTTGTGAGTATCTTACGATTCAGTGGCCAGAGATTGAACTAAAGGGAAGAAAGAGTGAAAAACGTTGGTGGACTTCAGAGAAACTTTCAGAGTAATAAAGTGTGAATAATGTAGTTGAGAACACCATGCAATTGATTATCTAATATATTTTGAATTTTTTGAATTTTGTAAGTTTGTAGATAGAAGATGAAGAACAATAATCAAAACACATAACCCATTTTTAGGAATGAATTTTTCTGTTACTAAATCAATCACAAAATAGATCTAAGCCACAAGGCAATACTACATAACATTATTGATTGAATTTAACTAACATAATAGATGGAAAAACTAATATGAATCCATTTGTATAATTAAAAAAGTCAAATAATACTTTTTTTTAAATTAAAAGATCAAAGTAAATCCATACAACTTGAATTTGAACAACCAAGTTTCTAAACCGGGTTTTAATCAACCAAGGTCCCACCGGTTCAAATTCATGTGGCTCCAATCTACCCAGCCACATCTTCACCAAACACTCTTTCCCTCACACAAAACATATCATGCAAATCACACTCACCCTCCTTCACGCGCTTTCCCTCCTCACCACACCACGCACCAATAAAATCACCACGTCCCCCTCCACGCTCCTGAAACCCCCACATTCCAATACATTTCACACACCCCTCTTCACCATTCAAAAAACCCCCAAAATATAGCAACCAAAAACGAACACCATTTTTTCCTCTTACACTCAACTAAAAACGACGCCGTTTTTGGAACAACCGGAAAATGGCTGAGACGGTGGAGCTTGAGAACGAGGAAGAGCTTTCTCTTCTTTCACTTTCCGATAACAGTGACCGGTCATGGCGATTGAACTTCGAGTCGTTTCAGTTTTCTTCGGAACACACCGAAAAGACGCCGAAACCCTCGCGTGGTATCCATGACTGTTATGGTGTTCTTGGTAATTTTCATTCACTTTATTGTTTAGCATTTTTAATTCTAAGTATTTTTTATTAAACTGTCTTATTCTTAGTTTCTTATCTCAGTTCTAAATTGATTTATAATTAAAATACTCCCTCATTTTCTTTTTGAGTGTCACTTGTTAGAAAAAAGTTTGTTCAAGTCACATTTCAAAGTTCAATATAATTTTTAATTTTGTCAAAATTACGCCCCTAATCATTATTATATAGAGAGAAAAAAAAGTAAAATAAACTATTAAAAATTTAATGGTATTATAAGAAGAAAAAAAATCATTGTTTAAAAAATAACAACAATCATGAACTATCTTGGTATGTTTAAAAACTTAAAAAGTGACAATTAAAAAAGAAGAGAGGGAGTACTATATATAATGTTAAATTAGTTACACTAGATTCTCTGAAATATTTTATGATATCAATGTGGAATGATCTCTAGAATTGTGAAATCCAAATTTCTGGATCTTTTGTTATGAGCAATGTTTTAAATAACTGTCGTGATATCGGTCGGTACAACACTGATTGTGGTTGTCACGGTATGAGTTGACCAGACTTTTGTGATATTGGTCGGTACATGTGTTGCGACATCATCGCGGTATGAATTAACTAGGTTTTCGCGATATCGGTTGGTACTAATGTTGCGACATTGACTGCCTTTTGTGATATCGGTCGATACATGTGTTGCGAAACCGTCGCAGTATGAATTAACCGGGTTTTTGCGATATCGGTCGGTACATGTGTTGTGACACTAATTGCAGTCGTCACAGTGTGAATTAACCAGGCTTTCGCGATACCAGTTGGTACAGGTGTTGCGACACTTAATGCGGTCTTTGCCATGTGAATTAACCATAATTTGTTCTTTAGCATAAAAACGGTGAATAACAGTCTGCCGGTACCATTTTGTCGCGGCCGTTTTTGCGGTCACGAACCGTTTTTTAAATCTTGGCTATCAGATTTATCTATGATATTATCCACTTAAGTTCAAATTTATTCGGTATTACGAACTTAAAACTCATTATAACTTGAGTAATATTTGGATAGTTCATCTTGTATGTGTTAGATGAGTTATATAAGGGCTTGTCTAGGGTTCAATCTCGTGGTAAGGCTTAGTTGTTGTTGTGACTAGGTTGATACATTATCATGATTTTAGGGATCAAAATTGAATATATTTATAGGTGTGAACTGATTCCTTCTGTTTTGTTTTTACTTGTATTTATTTAATTAATTCTTTTTGGAATCTACTTTTTTTAGTTGAGAATCATTTTGTTTTTGGAATGTGAATCTGTGATTTGTTTTGTATCAGTGGTTGTGGTTGATTATGAGGAATGTGATGCTGCATTATTTTTATTCAGTTTTGATGTGATTTTGAGTTCCTTGTTTGTTCGTTTGGCTCTTTATATATGTAAAATCTTTTATGTGTTTGGCAATAAGCGTAAAACTTGTTTCAGTTTTCTGAAAGATGCTATCAATGGATGTAATTCATGGTGAGTACTATTATATGTTTTGTAGTTTCTTTCTTCAGCTAGGTTTAGTAAGGTGTTTTTTTTTTCTTTCTTTTTGTTGATGAGAATTTCGGCTTTTACGGTTGATGATTTTGTATCTTAGTTTTATACGTCCGAAAGGCGATTTCATGACTACATTTTTTCTTTTCTTCTGTTTTGTATTTCTTTAGGTCAAGAAGATAACATTGCTGAGTATTATCAGCAACAGGTTGAAGTGCTTGAGGGCTTTACTGAAATGGATGCCTTAGCAGAGCGTGGTTTTATTCCCGGAATGTCAAAGGTTTTTATTTTTCATTTTCTCTTTTTCCTCTCTAGATCTAATGATAGATATTGGTCTTGTTTAGATAAACAGCTTAATAAAGTGCTTATAGCTTAAATGCTTATCATAAGAGTATTTATGAATAACCTATTTCTATATCAAAATATAAAATAAATTCAAACTGTTTTCATGTAAGCTATAAGCTATTTTCATAGGCTAACCTAGAGAGCTTATGAATATAAGTTGAAAACAGCTTATGGAGATGTCATACGTTACCTTAAGCTCTCGCAACAGTTTCACAAGTACTTATGTTAGTAGTTAGGTTCAAATATGTCAACTCAAACAGTTTCCGTATAGTCATCTGCCTTGGCTGAATATCCCTCGCTGTTTGCAGGAGGAGCGAGACAAGTTAGCTAGGAGCGAGACATTTGCCATCAGAATATCTAACTTAGCAAACATGGTTCTTTTTACTGCCAAAGTTTACGCATCAATCCGAAGTGGTTCCCTAGCCATCATTGCATCCACTTTAGACTCTCTGCTGGATCTCCTCTCTGGATTCATCTTATGGTTCACTGCATTTTCCATGCAAACACCGAATCCATATCAGTACCCTATTGGGAAGAAGCGGATGCAACCATTGGTCAGTCCTGCTACACATATTCTGTTTGAATATTTGAATCATGTATTCTTGGTGCTGAAATTTAAAGTTCAAAATTGCGTGCAGGGAATTCTTGTCTTTGCCTCTGTCATGGCAACACTGGGACTGCAAATAATTTTGGAGTCTGTCCGCACATTAATATACTCTGTAAGTTGATTTTGCTGCATTTCTTGACTCGAAGTTCACACCCATCAACAATTAAAAGATAAATCAGTGGTTTTTCATTTGATTAGCTGGATCTCATTAATTTTTAGGTAATTCAGTCTAATGCTTGTCTTAATGACATTTCCAGGATAATACCTTCAACTTGACCCGGGATCAAGAGTGCTGGGTTATGGGTATTATGCTTTCGGTGACTCTGGTGAAATTCATGCTGATGGTTTATTGCCGCTCTTTTACTAATGAGATTGTTAAGGCTTATGCTCAGGATCACTTTTTTGATGTGATCACTAATTTGATTGGCCTCATTGCTGCACTTTTGGCCAATTATTTTGATGATTGGATGGATCCGGTCGGTGCTATCATTGTAAGTAAATAAATACTTTCCGTACTTTAATCTACACTACTTTACCTTTGTTTATTTATAGGCCAATTAAGTAGGAATCTCAATTGGTATGCTCAAAATTTATCCATGATGAGCCATCAAAATATATGAATTTCCTAACAGTCAATGATGGCAGAAGTTGATCCAGGTAGCCAACTCCACTTAGTGGGATAAGGCTTGATTGTTGTTGTTGTAGTTCATATTGACGTGCACGTGTTTCACTTATGTATAATTATTCTACTGCAGCTGGCTATATACACAATTCGCACATGGTCAATGACGGTGTTGGAAAACGTGAACTCCCTGGTCGGAAGATCAGCCGCACCAGAGTATCTTCAGAAACTTACATACCTTTGCTGGAACCACCACAAGGCTGTAAGGCACATTGACACTGTCCGGGCTTACACATTCGGGTCTCACTACTTTGTCGAGGTTGATATTGTCCTACCAGCAGGCATGCCTTTGCAAGAGGCTCACGATATTGGTGAATCATTGCAAGAGAAGCTCGAACTCTTGCCTGAGATCGAGCGTGCTTTTGTTCATCTTGATTATGAGTACAGTCACAAACCTGAGCATGCTCAAGCTCATTCTTAGCAGCAATATGGAAAAGCAATGCCAACTTTGTGAACCATTTTAGGTATATTTGAATCTGTACTGACTACTGAGATGTTGATGAGTGGTGTACAATTGGATTTGGGATATGTTGTGAAGCCTATCATGCAAAGAGATTGTTTGTCCTCTTTCCTTCGATATATTTCCTTTATTGCTGAAGTTTATTGGGGGGTTATTTATGAGATGTGTATATAAGATGTTCTTACTTGCTAATGTGAGTTTCTTTTTCCATCTTCTATGTTTCTTAAATATCACTCACATCTGAATATGATCCATCTGATTGGAAAAGCAATTCGTAACTTTGGAGCGGCAATTGATCCATCTATATAATACTCTTGTTAAACTCAGATAACGGCGCGGCCATCTAAAAAATTGGAACGGAACAGAACGGGTATTATTTCGGTGACGCGGATACTAATATATATTTAATATTAATAAACACATAATACTTAAAAACTAAAATAAGTTACTCAAATTTAATATTAATAAACACATAATACTTAAAAACTAAAATAAGTTACTCAAAATTCATGAAGCCTTAGTAAGTAAAAATAAAAATATAAAAAAACAAAAAAACAAACACTTAATTCAAATGTGCATCATCATTTTCTCTATCATTAAATTTGTTTTTCTCTACTTTCTCTTTATCCTCTACTTTCTCTTCATCCTCCTCAACATCAACATCTAACTTAGATAAATCATCACCATCCACTAAATCTGATTCAGCTTCACCATCATCAACTTCATCTTCCAATAACCATTCATTATTAGTATCAATATCATCCATAATATTGTATCCTAATTTTTGCTCCTAAGATCCCTTCATCATACCATGTTGATTCCACCACAACAAGATCACATTAGAATTCTTGGTTCTTCTCCCTATATTTAACTTTGCTCTTTGAGAAATCATCAAGCACCTTGACTTGTTTTTCTTTTGTGATTATGCATGTTTTGTTTTGACTTTCCTTTTAATTAATAAAGTACAATGTTGTTTTGTCTCACTAATAATGTAAGTAAAGCAATAAAATTCAACAAGTTGGTCTATGGGTTCATGAGTTTATTTCCATGCCCTAGCCATTAAAGCTTGAGAAATTCAAACCTCACCATTGGATTTGTTTTGGAGGAAATGGCATGGCAAAGTTATTTTGGTTCACCATATTTCAAGATTATCAAATTTGGTTCAAAAATACAAGGGGTTGATTGGAGAAGTTGACTTGCTTGGACAAGGCTTTGTTCCCATTGGTCACAAGTGCATATTCCTCTCAATTCTCAAGATATGGAAGTGGTTTTGATGGCTATGAGTCCTCATTATCATCCTCAACAACTTCTATTTACAAAGCAAGAATGTTGGTACAAGAAGGTTGTTCAAAATTGTCAAGGTTCCTCAAGGCATTTTCTTGATCTAGGAGCTAGGGTTTTGAACTTCAAAGGAGTATATCTTGCTCATATTTTGGTTTTTTTGAGTGATTCTAAAGACATCATTCTCTTCAAAGGATTACTAATAAATCACTTCAAAAGTTCCAAGGAGTTTTCATGTGGAAGAAACTTGATGAAGAAGAAAGATTACAAGTCCTCTAGATGAATCCCCAATTTCTCATTTGTGACTTCAAATATTCATAACTTGGTCAATTTTTATCACCTTGAGCCCATTATTTTTCCACAATGATCTTGAGTATGTGAAATGTATGCCTTCTTTTATGTGAAAAATGAGAAAATAGATGGAAGTTGCCTTAAGGATACAAAAGATTATAGGTCATTTCATGATTTTTTGCCAACTTCAACAATTCATAACTCTCTCAATTTTTGGAGATTTTGGATGGTTCAAGTCCCAAAATGTCACTCAAGAGATCTACTTCATACCATCTTTTTTGGTCAAGAGCAAATTCCAAATGGAAGGCTATGTTTGGATGCAAAACATTTTAGGTCACTTTTGAAGAAAAAATTTGAAATATTTCTAAGTATGGAAAGTCAACATTTTTTCTCCAACTTTGACTCAACACAACTTTCAGCTCAAGCATCCATTTGATTCCATTCTTTTTCCATTGCAAATCTTGTAACCTCATCTTTCTGAAACATCAAGAATCACGCCCTAAGATCTCGTGAGCTGGAAATTCCATTGGTCAGAAGTTGGCACTTTGAAACTGAATTTTTCACCAAGTCAGAAGTTTGAAGTCCCTGATTTGGCTTCTAAACACTTTATTTCTGCACGTTTATGCCTTTAAACATTTTTAATGAAGTTCCAGAGATGATTAGTATAGAAAAACACGCGTTTTGGATGAGTTTTGATCAAATTGGAAGTCACTCTTTGTTGGCTCCTAAATTCGACACTCACGTTCTATTATCATATAGATCATTAATCATGAGTTAGAAGAGTTTCCTACACAAGAAGGCTTCGATCAGCTGATCATATCGAAGGCTTATCAAAGAATGACAAGATACTTAGAGAAATTTCTCTAAGTTGGAATCATGTTGTTTTCAACGTCGAAGGAGCAACCTTTCAACCAAGGTCCCTGATGCCCAAGATCGAACGATTTGAATTTCGAATTGTTGGAGGGAAAACGGTTCCCAGCAGTTACCAAGTGCAACGTGGCGTGGAAGTAGGCGTCGAGGGTTGTGAATGTGCCATGTGGTGTCACCTCGAAGCGATGTAACTGCCCAGCAGTTACTTAGGATTTTTAGTATAAATACTAAGTGTTCACGTAGTTATTAGGGGTGTTCATCATTGTATACAAGTCACTCATTTAGATTCAAGTACCCAGCGTGAGAGAAAGAATCATTGAGAATGTATGTGTGAAACACCATTTACCTTAATCAAAATCTTTTACATTCAAGCAATTTATCGCTTTCACTTATTTATCTCAGTTGAAGTCATTTATTTAACAAGCCTTTAATGCTTTTATTTATTTTATCAAGCTTTTCTCCATGCAATTTACTTAAAGTGTCTCTACCTTACTTGCATCAATCACCATTAGGATTAGTCGAAACTCTCTATTTTAAAGCATTTAAACGATAAAAATCAACCATGTCTTAGGATCAATCTGATCGATCCTGCGAGTCACCAAATAAGTTACCTTTTGGAAGTTGAGTTGGTAGTCGAACGATGATAGTACGGTCCGACCAACGTACCTACTAATATGCCTAGTAGCGGCGTCTTCAGAGTAGTCATTAGAAAAGAACAACAATGATTTCTCCTGAGGATAAATCAGAGAAGGAAGCGATTGGATAATGCCAAATTGTCGAGAGACAAGATTCGGCTGGTAGGCAATCAGGCTCAACTGATTTTTCGAACTCTTGAAACGCAACGGCATTATCCTTGGAGTGAGAAACGCTTCCCACATTGTTGTATGCTCTTCGAAGTGAGGATCCTCTGGTGATTTAGGATGGGGCCTGGTAAACCATCCTGGACCACACTTTCGACCGGCGAAAGGGGCCATGGTCGAAGTGAATTCCTTCCTTCCCGCAAACATCTGAACGAAGTTTGTGAAGGTCTTTTGTAGTTCCAGCCCATCCTCAGTAGGAGTCAATAAGGCGAGCCTGGTGCCTTCAACGCGCCTTCTGGCTATCTCAGAAGCCTTTTCATTTATTTGAGTCTCCTGGGGTAGAAAAGACTCGAAAGTGGCATTCAGCTAGAGTTGAAGTAGCCAGAAGGGACCAGCAAGCAGCAGGCTGGCTCTATTTTCGATTACTTTTAATTGAGCCGCTCCACTGCTTATCGACTCGTACAAGTTCGCCAATATTAATTCGGCCAAACAAATGTTTTGGCCGTGATGAAGCTGAGTAGCCAGGGTGACCATCTTCTTCGTCACCTGCAGGGATTTCGTGCAGAACACGAAGCGCGACAGCCAAAGGGCTAGAAACGCGATGTGCTCCACATCAGTCACCGCAGTCGTCGATTTGTCGTGGTAATGATTGGTGTAAGTGGTGTAGGTGGGTTTGGTAGCAGAAAACCCAATCTGGTCTTCAGACATTTCCTCTGGGTCGAAGTAGTCCCCAGTTGGTCGAAGACCAGCAATTGCGGCCACATCGAAGAGAGTGGGCGTAACCATTCCACAAGGCAAGTGGAAGGTATAGTGAGTGTAGTCCCAAAACAGCAATGAAGCTACCAGCATGTCGGGACAGTAGTTAAGACCAGTTTTGGACAACATGACCAGGTCATAAATGCCCATGCCTTTCCAAATCGAAGTCTGGCACTCCTCCATCTTGTTGAGCCAAGCGGTATATTCTGGTGTAAGGCTAGGGCTAGATCGAAAAGCCCTAACCCCCCTGTTAAAAAACCGAAGATCTATTTTCTCTTTCGCAGGATCTTCAGTATCATATTTCGCCTTCTTTGAGCACCCAATGGGTTTGAGTGCCTCATGCGCGGGGAAGAAACCCTCAATATTTGTGGGGTCAGTAATGCATGTTGAAAGAGGGCCTGACATGGAAAAAACCTGGTTGGAATACCCAACGGGAATCAGCAGTTGAGAGCCATAAGTTTTGCGCTCAGCATCACCCATGGGTTCAGGAACCTTTCGCATTCCCATAGAATTAACTACCGGAGCAGTTGAGAAGGTTTCTGGTTGAGCAGTCTTGGAGAGAATGCTAGCTCTTGGGGCATTGGGAGCACGAGTACGTGAAGCCATTTTTAGTTTAAATGAGGGTGAATGAAGAATAGAGATTACTGGGTTTGGAGAGGAAGGAGCAAAGGGCTGTTTGCAGAAGATTTCGTTCGATGAAGGTTTGGATGCGAGAAAACGTAAAGAGTCCAAATGAAGCACTTAGTGCTATTTATAGTGATTGGAAAATCATAGGGCTCGAGGTCATTTAATGCCACAGACGGGAGTGGGGCGCGTGGCACACATTGGCGTTGTAACCGTTCTGGAAAATGGAAATGTTGCAGCATGCTTCCTCGATTTCAGAGAATGGTCATAATGACAGCGTAAGAAAGGGCATCGTGCGTGCGAAGTGCCTTACTGAAGTGACATCTTGGGAAAAGTTGA